GTGCGTGCTCCTCCGCCGGCTCGTCCTATCAAGAGCGAAGAACGCCATGAAGTTGCGTTTTTTGCGCTGTTTGATTGGACCTTCAGATCATAACAACGGCTACGCTCGGACCTAAGCTGAAACCAAGTATAGCAGCGATCTTAGTTGTTAGGGCTGGCTCACACACTTGCAACTGCTTGTACGTTCGAGTGCATTCCGACCACTCCTGATATACTACGACGGGAGAGAACACGGTGGCAAGCGGGAGCCATGTATACGGCGGCCATTTAACTGCATTTCACTAGAGCCAAGGTTTTGCGTTATTTACGACAGCAAATGTACGTGCTCTCTATGAGTAATGGAGGTTTATAACATAGAAAAAAATGTTTTATTTTAAAAACTAAAAAGGAAATAATGATGCGCAAAAAAAAGAGGATATACGGAAACTTGTTGGTTCACACAACTGTGACTGTTTACGACCGATTGCATTACGACCTCTGGTGGTCTCTTACAATGTGAGAACATAATGTCGTCATCTATCGGATAGCCGTGGAACACATGCAGTGTCCGTATATTCCCTCTTTTTTCTACTTTCCGCGCATCATCATTTTATAATTGTCTCGAAAAACTTTTGTCAATCTTATAAAAAAATAATTCTTAAATTTGATTTCGCAAATACCGCAAAACCTTCACTCTAGTGAAGTGCAGCTCCAGGGTCGCCTCATAGATAGCGCCAGCGTGCCACTGTGTTTTCTAGAGCAAAGATTCAAGAGCGGGTCAATCTTAAACGATGGGGAGCGTTTGCATATTTCGTGGCGGACACAATCTGCGGAGAGTGGTCGCAAATGCGCACGCGCTGACTTGTCGCGGGACAAAGAAGAAAGCAGGCGAGAAAGCGGAGAGGCTTGCAGGCGATCCACGCTTTTTCCACCTCCTCGCAGCTCGTATTGCAAACGTGTCCCGTATCGAGAAGTTGGAGACTCTGTGTCATATGTCCTCTCCGGTGTTCTCTCGTCGTAAGAGATCAGAAGGACGCGGTCCTAAGCAAACGCAAGTGTGTGAACGGTAGCTTTCTTGCTGAATCCTCCAGCGGGAAAGCTACACCAGCCTGTCTGTATCTAGCGTAAGCATTCCCGATGTCTCGAGTCATCGTCCTTACCCGCGTTGACGTGGCTGCCAGATTGGCCAGAAGACCAGCCGCGTCGGCAAGAGGACAAACAGGGGAGCGGAAATCCACTAACCGGATTACAAGTCGCAATTTGCGAGCGGTGCCGCGTCCATCCCCACCAGTGTTGCCACTCGGAAAGCCGCAGAGCCAGAAGGCGGGCAAAGATTGGATTTGAGCAGGGCGCCGCTCCTGATTCGGGCCTGTCCCTCAACTTGCCCCGGGGGCGGCTTTAGATTGCGGGGACAGAGACGATGGCCCCCTTTTTTCCCGCCGTCGCTGCCTCGCCCCGCCTAAATTTCAGCTTCGTTTGATATCTTTATTACGTTATTAGGGCGGGAGTCCTCGCGACAGTTCCTCCACCACTGAGTTTTTGATGAGTACTGCACATAGAGATGTGTTAGTTTACGAGATGGCGATTATGTCGGAAGCCACAGCTGTGCCTTGTGTGGGCTATGCATGTGGGATACGCCTGTCTTTTTGGTTTCTTTCTCAATGTTTTTAGTTTGTTCAGTTCAGAAGCTGTGCCCTCGTACCCGATGAGGCAGCACCGCACTTTGTAACCAGATTTAAATATTTTTGTGGCTTAGTGTTGGTTTGAGTAGCCAGTGCTGTCAGCTTCAGGTGAATACCACTTAGCTGGTGAGTGACTGACGGCGTCGCCATTTAATTAGACTGCATGACGGAACCGTTTTTGTAAAAGTACGTTACACAGAGTTTTTTTATTTACGGCTTTACGGGCGGAAATTGCCTCGTATTAATAGCCCCTTGTTATTTTGGCGTCAAATGGTACAGCTAGTTATTTAGTGAAAGAGAGAGTCAAATCTGCTGCTTTTGTTTGGCCTTAGATCTCGCTGGCTAGAAGAAATGCACAAATCAATGCAATGCGGTTAGCCAGTAAGTTGAGAATTTATTTTCGTTCAGGATTAGAACAAAGCCCACCTGCGACACTTGACCGGGTTTGACGGAAAACAAACCTCCGTAATGCTTTCTACTAAAACGGGGCTGGTAACTTACGTGTGCCAATCACTGAGATCTGCACTAAAAAATGCGAGTTTTCTTTCTCACAAAACAAAGAGACAGCCAATCACAGCGATCAATAGAAGGATTTCAGTAAACGACGAAGCGCAGGATACAATTGGATCCGAGAAATGTGATCTGGGCAGGGACGAGGAGAAAGTGAACGTCACGCTCTTTCTGATCTAGTCGGACTCTGTGCTTCGCCATCGGCTGGAATCCTTCTTTTGATCGCCGTGATTGACTGTCTCCCTGTTTCGGAGGAACGCGAACTGACATATCTTCCTTTAGGGTGCAGATGGCAGCGGTTAACTTTTCGAGGGCTTTGCAGGGAAGGTGAACACACGAATAGTTTTTTTGGGAAACACCGCCAATACTTCGTTTCAGCTTAAGATCAGATGCAGTCGATGCTACGAGCACGAGCATCTGGCTCTAAAGGGTGCTTGCACTGCACTAGCGCGCGTGCTTGGCAGGGACGCTGAAATCCCAGAGCTCACGCAACGCAGCATCGGCTGCGTATGGACTTAAGCTTACACCAAGTAACCTGCGGAACAGCCTCCCCTACCTCCACGGAACGTAATCGCTCTAGGATGGCGCCAGGTCCGAGCTCGACGCATTGATTGGACACGAGGACCAGCCGAGCACTAACGAAGCCCTCGTGAACCAATCTATGTTTGCGCTTGACCCCACTGCAATGACGTCAAGATGCTAGTGCACGGACCTTGAATGTTCTAGTTGGCGTTATCTTTGAAATGCACTATTTTACTGAAGTGTACCCTTTCGGCGGTAAAAAACATCCTCTAACCAACCCAGCCAAAAAAAAAAAAACAAAAAAAAACACCACACACACACACACACACATAAAAAAACCCACAATGGTCGCCGAAAAAACACACACGAAAAAACACAAGAGAGGTACTGTGTTTTGGGCTGAAGCAAGGCGCGTTCTGTGTTAGCCATGAGCGCATACGACGGCGCAGATTCGATTAGTCCGTAATCGGATCTGGTGATCGTCTTCGCGTGTGGGACGGCCCAGCGGTCGAACAGCGGACGACGAGATCAATGTCGCGCCCTCGATCGCGTCCTTCTTCAACTATGTCACGTCGTCGTCCGAGCTAATCCCCGGTGTATTATGAAGTGTTGCATGCACGCCTCTGGCGTTTTATTTTAGAGCGCAGCTCTTAGGCGCCCGTTTCCGGCATGAGCGGCGTCGCCGTCGCCGTCGGCGTACCCGCGCGGTGTATTATGGGACGCGTGACGTCACTGATGACGTAATTACTGACGTCATGAATGACGTTATCGGCATCGTCATCGGCATCGTCACTGATGACGTTATCGGCATCCGCATCGTCATCGTCATCGTCACTGATGACGTCATCAGCATCAGCATCGTCATCGTCATCGTCACTGATGACGTCGCTAGTGCTGATGACGTCATCAGTGACGTCACTGGTGACGTCACTGATGATGTTATCGTCATGTGACCTCATGGGGGTCACGTGGCCCGGTGAGGTGACATGACGCTCGGAGGGAGGATTGGCAGACAGGATGAGGAGGTGGGGAGGAGGGAGGAAGGATTTACCTTCCCCTTGGTATCCTTCTCCTCCTCCTCCTCAAGAGCTGCGCTCTAATTCGGCGTTACAGAAAGTTGTAAACGGCTTTCATTTTTCTCTCTGTCTCTCGAAACGGCGGATATGTTAATATTTACTCTGTGCTGAACGTGACGACACAATATTTTTCAAATAGACTGATTTCCACTGGTTGCTTCGCTATGGCGCGGAAGCCCGGATCCCCCAATTCAGAGAGCGAGGGCAAAAAAAAGGGAAATTAAAAAAAAAAGTTTATATCTTACAAGAACGATTCGATGACGTAAGGTAGGAAGGTAGTCGAGCTGGCGGAGAACAAATTTTTTAATGCAGTTGCTATAACGCGTATGACAAGAGATACTAACGAAAGTAGTCACATCTTTGAAGACAGGAATAAAAGCCGTGGCAATGCTGCTTTCCTTGCCTGCTTTGGTATAGTTTAACCTCCTACCGACGTGCGACCATGTAATATTCCATGGAGGTAGGACGCTTCTGGAGGCGACAAGAAGCCATTAGAGGTAAAGCCAGGGGTGTGGCGGAAGACGCGCCCAACAATGGTCAAAACCACGACTACTCCCGAAGGTGACCAAAACAGCTGTGGTTCTGGTCATCGCTGTAGTCGCGTTCCTCCGCACTTCAGGCTTCACCTCTGGTGGCGTCGTGCTGTCTCCAGAAGCATCCTACCTCTATGCATTATTCACTACTGCAAGGATCAAGAGATGGATGCTAATGGCTGTGTCCTTTATCACGGGCGGCAGCTTGTGCCACCCATGGCCTACCACGCACGTAACAAAATCCCTTTTAGTCACCGACATCGTAAGAACGCAGGGCTGGGCTTAGTATGCTCGCCCCTCTTGTTTCCTGATTGGTGATCTGGCGTTCTTAGGGGCTAACGCTAGGATCTCATTGGCTGCGGGACGGTAATAAGATGAGGGTGACTTGCCACGTCCTGCGTTACTGAAGCTCACAGTGACTACATTTTAGCAGTTGCTCTGCAATGACTGCACTGATTATGTTCAGTTTGAATCAGTATGGCCCTACCTCGAAGACAAACCGACCTTTCTCTGTCATGTACCTTTATCGTGTACGAACTAACATGTTATTGTTGGGATGCGCGCCCTTCACCTGGATCCGGTATATGAAATTTAGATACACATATATACTGTATATGAAACTTTCGTTTTTGTTCAATGTCACAATTTTTTGCAGCAATAACTGGACGTAACTAATACGAAAAAATAGACTATACCCACCGGTGTGTATGTAGGTGTGCTTCTTCATGTCAGACTTCTGGTGAAACCTCTTCCCGCAGTACTCGCACGGGTAGGGCCGGGTGTCCGAGTGGATGAGCAGGTGTGTTGACAACGTCGAGGAGCGCTTGAACGTCTTGCCACACTGCTTGCACTCGAAGGTGCGCTCGGACGTGTGGACGGCTCGGTGCTGGCTCAAGCTGACCTCGTGACCGAAGGTCTTGTTGCAGAGCTCGCAGGCGAAGGGCCGCTTGCCGCTATGAGACCTCCTGGCGTGCACCTCGAGTCCGTGGGCCGTGGAGAACATCTTGTCGCACTTGAGGCACGAGTAGACGTCGGACAGCGGGTGATGAAGATGGTGCAGGTGGTGTAGATGATGGTGGTGGTGGTGGGGAGACAGCAGTCCTGCCGAGGCCGCCAGGGCCTGGGGACTTAGTCTCTGGCCGAGCTCCATCTGACCACTGTGACCCTGCAGCGAGTTGGAGAGAACACCTAAAACCGCAGTCGCACTTCTAAACGCAGGAAGTTATCATTTGAGCCCGTTCTCGTTTCGACTTCCTCGTTTGGACTTTCTCAAAAGACACATTCTCAAACCGTTCTTCTCGGTAAGGCCTGCTGCATTTGGTCCGATCTCGTTGCAACCTTCGTGTTTCATCCTCCAAAGAAAAAAAAAAAAGGAATTTTGAGGTATCTGTGTTATGGCTTAATTACCGCATATCCTCGAAAAAGCTTCTTCAAGTTCGCCCCCCTCCGCTCCCCTTTAACTATCCTACACGCACGCGATCACATACACACGCACACGGGATTTGGTCCCGCGGTTTGGCTAATGGTTCCTGGAACACGTCCGTTCTGCTATTGAAACATGCAGCGAAGGTCAGGATCCGCTCCTTGGGTTGTCCGGATGTGATCGCAGATGCCGAGAAATCAAAGACTAAACTGCTCTCTTGTGTTAATACGCGTCTTCGTATGTGCCTCGTTTTCCGGGCAGCGGGAGGGTGCACTAGGGGTGAGCCGATTCCGCCCTTCATACCAAACTAATTTTTTTTCCTTAATTAAAGTTTACTGCGGTACACGCTAGGAGCCGTCGGAGCCAATGCGTCGCTGAGAATCACGTTCCATTAAGTCGTTGTGAGAACGCGATTAAACACAAATAGGCCCAAATGCGAAAAAGACGGTTTGGATGTTTTGAGGAGATTCAAACGGGTATGTTCAAATTATAATGGGGCAAAATGAGAAAGAGCGAACTGGGAACGGTACGTTTTTGAATGTGCCTCAAGACGTCCCGTTTGCATTTTGCCCTTTTTCATTTGCCTAATTCTTGTTTGGACCTCTTCGTTTGAACCATCTCAAAATATCCAAACAGTTTTGTTTTCGCATTTGGGCTTATTGGCATTTTGTCCCGTTAGCACTACGACCAAATGGCACATTGTACGTTTTCATTTTGGATTGCCTCCGACGGCTCGTAACGTCCTCCGCAATCCACTTAAAACAAAAAAAGAATGTGGAAGGGGGAATTGGGGGGGGGGGGGGGGTAGAGGCTACTCTCAGTGCACCCTCCCGTGGCCCGGGAAAAGAGGGGCATACGAAGCCGAGTTTTGACACAAAGAAGCAGTTCGATATTTTATTGCCTGGCGCCTGCGACCACTTCGGACCAATCTAACGGGCGTGTCCAAACCTTCGTTGCATGATTCAAGAGCCAAATGAACGTATTCCAGGAACCATGCGCCAAACCAATGGGACAAATCACGCTTGCGTGTCTGTGTGAGCAGTACGTGTAGGGAAATTGAGAGGGGTGGGTGGGAGGAGGGGAGGGTTTGGAGTACTCAAAGAAGCCTCTTCAGGGACAGGCGGCGACCAAGCCATAAGACTGACACCTCGAGGTGCTCCCATCTTATTTTTTCTTTCTAAGAGGATAAACCGCGAATAATGTAATATAATTAGACCAAATGGGGTGGGCCCAACCGAGAAGGACGTTTTGAGATTGATCGTTTTTCGAAGGTCCAAATTAGAAAGTCAAAACGAGAACAGACCCTATCCCCTGAGGCGTGTCCGTAGGTGATTCTCTCATTATGTCTGCAATGAACACGTATCTTTGCTATGATGTTTGAGCAGTGGAACCGCGACTGTAAGGAAGCTGCCCACCCAAGAACGTTGAGACTTCTCCCCTTCCCGTCATGTCATCCCTTCACCCTTGCCCACCAGCTTCATTAAAACTAGGCTGTAAATTTTTCAGGTGTTTATTAAAAGAAAAGATCGGCGGATATTTTTTCGGTGTTAATTTATATTTAGATATGGCAGTATTTCAGCGATTTGATTTGAACAGAAGCTAAAAAGCAACGATTATTGGTAAAACAGTATCATAAAAGAACGAATAATTCAAGTGTAAGAAAAGAGGGTTTTGCCAAAAACAATTCTAGCTGGAGCATTTCCGAAAAGCGGTGTCTCTTTGGCTTGAGTCAATTTTGTAGTTTTGACACCGATGGCCGTTTATCGGAGTTTCTTTACCTTTTAACTCATTTAGTAATTTTGACACTAACAAAGTCTATCGGTGTTTATCGGTGTTCCTCTCTGCCTGATTGTACTTACCAGAGAAGAAACGAGGCCCCCGTTGCTTGCCTCGCTTGAGGAAGGACTCAGGGAGGCGTTGGAGCACGTGGACTTGGCCCCGGCGGCCGGGGCGGGAGACGAGGCGCCGCGCCCGGAGGACGCCTGTCCGGCCACGCTGGTCGCAGGGTTCGAACCCGGAGGTAGTGGGGCCGGCAAAGGCGGGGGTTCGGGGAACAGCCAGGGCCTCGTGCCCACCCTCAGGTCGCACGTGAGGGCACCGAGCGTGAACGGCCGGAGCTGCAGCGCCGAAAATCCGTGGGCCCCAAACAATTTGCTTGTGTCCGGGTGCTTGCCCCCTGCGTCGAAGCGTCATTCTTTTGTTTAGTTAAAACTGTGACATGTGTATCTTTGGACAGTCGGAATTTATTCAGACTCAGTGAGCATCCGGTGTCTAAGCTGTAGATGGAAAATTTTGACTTGAAACGTTCTTCTGGCTCGTGAGATGGGGTTGCCAGATTTAGTGAAGTCACAAATATATAAACCGCGAAGCTCGACGCTGATTGACTGGCGGAAATGTCGCGTCATCAACGCTGGTTGGCTGATTCCGGTGAGTAAGAATGAATCTGGAAACCCTCAAGGTTTTAAAACCCGACTAGCGCCATTGTCTTGATTCCCGGAATTGCTATCAAGTTTATGTGCCACGAGCTAAGTTATCTGATTAAGAGCGACGTGAGCACAGGCGCCGCGCTCGGCAACGTTCCGGATCAACATCGGAACGTTTCACGTGTAACACAATTTCCTAGCAATTGTTTTCCAGTACAGTACCATTGCTAGATTGGGGTCTTTAACGTGCAGCACGCAGTAGTGGTACACGACCGCACGCCGGTACGATGCTCATTCAGATCGAAACAGACAAGGGCGGGGATTGGGCCCAGTATCCCTGGGTTCTCCAGCGCGTGCTTTTGCTTGATGCTCTCCGTGTTACGCTGCGGTAAGAAACTCGGCCACAGATCTCCATTATTTACATGACAAAAAGATGTAAAGCTCAGTCTCATATACTTTTTTTTTTTACCCGATGGTTTGAGTTGCATATATCAAAGATACCGTGAGAGCGGCAAAGCAGGGGACAAAGAACTACCTGCGGCTTGCATGTTAGAGCGCAGCTCTTAGGCGCCCGTTTCCGGCTTGAGCGGCGTCGCCGTCGCCGTCGGCGTAACCGCGTGGTGTATTAGGGAACGTTTCCCATAATGAGACCACAGGTGACTTTACGTATGACGTCACGAGGTTCACTAGGGTCAGGAGTTACGTCACGAGTGACGTTACAAAGGTCACTAGGGATGTCACGAAGATCCCTCGTGAAGGTCACGACCTTCACAGTGACCTTCACGACGTCTTCATGAGTGACGTCACGAGGGCCATGAAGGTCATTCGTGAAGGTCGCGACCTTCACAATGACCTTAACAAGGCCTTCACGAGCGACCTTCGCGATGGTCACTAGGGCCAGGAGTGATGTTACGAGGGTCACGACGGAGGAGAGAGGGAGGGGTAGGAGGAGGAGAGGAGGAGAAAGGGGGAAGGTGCGGAGGAGGATAGAGGAGAAGAAGGAGGAGCAGAGGGGAAGGAGGAGGGGCATACCCTCCTCTCCGTACCTTTCCCTCCTCCTCCTCCTCAAAAACTGCGCTCTAATTCGGCATTACAGAGAATTGTAAACGTCTTTCATTTTTTACGACGTATTGTAACCACCAATACCTAAAAACCAGAGCATAAAAATATAATCGCCGGCGAGATGGGACTTAATTGTTGGTAATACCTGGTGACACTAGGTGCGTGTTTAGAGCACAAACGAAAAAAGTATCAAAGTACGATAGTGCTAAGTCCTCTATGACACAGATGTTGTTTATTGTACAATCGCAATGCCACAATTTTCAAATTAGAAATCACGAGAAAGATTTACAGTAACGTTCAGTAATGACATACATAGATAGAAGCTAGCACTATCAAAATGTGACGTTCCAATTTTCCTGTTTAAGAATTGAGGTGTAGAAGAAGGCGGATGTTTGTTTTATGGTTGATGAACACAAAACGTTTGATCGATGTACTAATGCGTTTAATTTGTTTTAATTAGTCAGAAGGTGCACCCTTCGTGTGATACCTGACTTGTTTCAAAGACATCTGATGTTTATTATTTTAATGAAAAAAATATAACCAATGTCTTATTTTCGTCACGAGTCGTTAAAGTATCATTCTAACGTTAGAATCACGAGATCGACCGAGGTTGATTGTAGGAACCTAGATGGTGAGATACAAAAAAATAGACTAACATAAAAAGGTGAAAAATGATATACTATAAATGTAGATACTTAAGACTAGCACAGTCGTTTACTTACGCATGCGGAACTCCTTGCTTTAACTGAAATGCATTTGTATTTGTATCAATCGATCAAACTGTCATGTAAAGAATTGCCTTTTATGAGGCACGAAGCAGACGCTAACTTCAGACTCAGCCTTGCAGTCACGCTACGCTGTGTATATTGTGGCTACGTCTTTTTGTTGCGGTTTTTGCTTTTCTTGTTGCTTTCGTGCTTTCGAGGCTTTTGCAACTGGCAAAGTCGTCTGGAACCTTCTCGGAGTCGTCCCTCCTGCCTTTGGAGCTTGAAGTTGTTGCTGTATTTTTTTTTTTTTTGTCATTTCCGTCGTAAAATTGGTGGAGCTCGTAGGTGTTTGGCAGCCGGCCAATTATCTTCGACCTTTACTCGCAATGACATTCTTCGCTGTTTAAGCTACATAAAATTTAGCTTCGGTAAAAATGCCACTGTGCATTAAAAACAACCACAAAGAAGCATGTTTTCGTATTTAATACTAGTTTATGACTGAACTCTACAGTACTTTAAAGGTTTTAAGCAATGTTTGCAAGGGGAAAATGTATCCTAACGAAACAAACTTTGAAGATCGGCCGTTCCTTTTCCATTTTCTGTCTAACTGCGCCCGCTTTCCCCCGGAACACGGTTGTCAAGCAGGCAGAGCACGCTTTACAGAAACCCATCGTCAACCGGTGCTGATGCTGATCCACTGTCGATTGTAATAATATATATTCAACGTAAGTAAAGCGGACAAAAAGAAATGTATATATATATATATATATATGTGTGTGTGTGTGTTTCTGCGTATAGCATCAAAATTTGTTTTTGTTTGGGCTCAAAGTAAACGGTGCGAATGAGGAACGTAGCCAGGGGGGGGGGGGGTGCCATGGGCCCCCCCCCCCCTCCCCCGAAATCCTCCTCTCCCCCCCCCCCCCCCCCCCTTATACAACGTTTTGTCATGGGCGGTCCCCCCTTCCCGAAACAAAATCCTGGCTACGTGCCTGGTGCAAATGTTTGTGCAGCAAGAGGTCGATCTCTTGTGGAGATTTTAACGATACTGGTTCAGTAATGTAAGCCGCGGGGAGCAAATTTAGCCAGCGAAGCGTGACTGATATATAGCCATTTGACAGCTTAAGAAACACAGGGCGTGGTTTATCACGTCTACGTTTCCTGCTTCGTGATTGGTTCAACGGTGTTCTTACGAAATGATGCCGCAAGCTCCCTGGCCATTGAGTGTTAATGAGATGCTCGAAGCTCGCCACGCCACACGTTTCTCAGGCTGTCAGTCACTACACGGCGTGCAAGTTCCACTTTTTCTTGCGCACCACGAGCGTTTGTTTACCCCCTAAACGCGCCCGCGAGCGTTTGTTTCTCCCATGACCTCAAGCAACGAAAGCGCGACCCTGGCTGCCTCGTCATCGCACATTATCTACACGTTCTTCTTGTTGCCCTTCGATCGGCGTGCCCCTCTTTTTTTGACGTTTCGATGCGCCAAATGACGCATTTGAGAGCACTTGCTCGGCGTGTAACCTGAGGTGCAAGACGTGCATAACGCCGCTAGTAATTCCGCTACTCCGAGCCTGTACAACGCTCTCTCATATTGAAACCGGTAAAGGTGGAGGTCGAATACCCTCGGCACCTGCGTTCAGCTGCTCAGCTTTCCCTCTCCCCGCTTCGAGCTGTGCTCCACCGACACACTTGACCCAGGGGTCTCCCTCAGACTTCTTGTACGAATGGAAAACAACAAAACCTACAATCATCATTGATAGGAGGACATCTTGTTGGCCATAAGTGAAACCTCAGGCAAACACACAGACACACGGGTTGCGCATTATTTGGGCGGTGAGACCCGAAGAGCGTACTAAGCGTGGCAACCATTTAGTGCCGGAATCGTAGCACGACTGGTATTGAGGATCGTATGTGTGTTGCATACTGCGCGATACTGCTAAAGCAAGAACGACGTTAACGTTGTTTTCATTTTACTCGTAAAATGTACCAGTGACCGTCGATTTTTACACATTAGGTTAGTGCCCTAGATGACAACCTTCCATGACGCTATAGTCAGCCAGATGGTGCTAACGAGAGGGTGGAAACGAGTTTCCCCGCCTCCAGGTCGAACTTTCTGCCTTCGATAATGCTTCGGTCGCTCGTGACTCTCGAGCGTGCAAGCGCAACCAAAGCACGGTAGAAGGCAAAGAGCGCGAGCTCGAAGCCGGACGTTCGAAAGAGACACCCTTCCGTCCTCATCGTCTCGGTGTCTATAGTAATGTTGGTGACAGCCAGTTCTCTTATTCCAAGATAAAAAAAAAAAAAAGTGAAGATCCAAGGATCGCTTGGTCGCGCTAAAAGTGTGTACGGCGTACGTATCACTCGAATCACGCTTTGTATAAAGCAGCCCGCAACACGGCGATCTTCCCCTCGCACCCCTCCCCCACCAAAATAATAATAAAAAGAAGAAATGTTCAGGAGCGCCACTCCGTGCAGTCACAGAATCCCATGGGCACTTCTTGCAGTGGAGTGAAGCGTAACGGTTTCCCGGAAGGGGAGGAGGGGGGGGGGGGGGGGTGGATGTGCACAGACACGGAAACAAAAGCCGGTGTTGCCTCTCGGTCGCCCACGAACGCAAAGTTGCCCGCGTGGGGGGTTTCGGGCGTCCACGTCGGCGTTAATCACGCGAGTACGCGAGCGGCAACAGGGCGTCCCCTTCACTTGGCCCGGGGATCGCGTGGCGGAGACGTGCAATGAAATTAGCGCGTCACGTGCGTGCGTCTGTGCGCGGGCTCAGCCGCCGGGGAAAGAGAGCCGCTATCGCTTCCAGCGCTGGCTCCCGTGGGATGGGGGAACCGGCGCTGCCGTCTCGCCCTCTCTCGTTTCATACCCGCCATCGTTTTCACTTTGTTCTGTCTTTCCTCTTTCGTTGCATTCTTTTATCGCGGTTCTCGAGAGCACGACCAACCTGTGGGGCGAGTTGTGAAGGTGCTCCGGTCTAGTTGGCCCGCTTATTTTTGATTTTGATTTTTTGTGCGTCAACAAACTTACTCTTACTGCGTATCGGCTGTTCCCAGACATGTAGGGTACTCATCGCAAGTAATAAAATTACTCGTAATCGATTACAGTTTGAAGTTATTTTGTAATAAGGCCACTACATTTATCAAAAAGTAATTACGAGACTAATCTGATCATTTATGGAAGCACTAAGTTTACTGGTAACCGATACTATTTTTCCACCCTCTTCCTAAAGACGCCCTCAGTTTGTACAAATGTCCTTCCAAGGAATTATCGATACAAGCTATAGGAGGATGGTTTACCAACATCGCTTGATTAGGAAGATAAGTAGCTTAGAGTTCGTCAATTATAATCTTATATTGGACGGTAGGAGGCACCCGTTTTAAAATCGACAGAAATATCTGCCATTTTGGCAATCCGAGGGAAATGGAAAAATAAAGTTTACTTTTTCAAGTAACTGCCAGTTACATTTCTTCTCAAGTAATAAAGTAATCTAATTAAATACTTTTTAACAGAGAGTGATTGTAGTTGTTACCAATTACTTTTTTCGAGTAACGTGTACAAGACAGGTTGCTAGTCAACTTCCGGTTTGCTGAGCTTCGTATGTTCCAACGTAGTTCCGCTTCGCGACTGGTATATAAACGTCTGAGTAGTACATTGCCTTTTACAGCAATGACTGCTATCTGATTTTCCCCCACTGGATGATGTTGATGTCGAGATTGTAACGTCACGTAACGTTGTCACTTGACGTCACGGTGTCTCATGGCGGTTAGACTAAATGAGTGTATCACTCTTCGAGAAGACTTTGGCGATGGGACCTCCACGTAAAGTGCAAGACACATAAGTACGAGATACAAAGTGATACAGTAAAACCTAATAAGGTGTCGAGCTGTCGCCGTGACTCTACCGTGAATTCACACATGACTGCTCGTTTCTTTACTTTTCAAGTAGTTTCTACAAACTTAGTGTAGAGAACATTATAATCTTTATAGGCACTAACACAAAATAACGAATTTTTTTTGTTTCTTTTTTTTTTTAGGGGGAGGGGGGGGGGGGTATTTGCAATACGACACCGCTTTTTTATTTTTGGTAATTCTTCTTTTTTGAATATTAAAAGGGAATATTAAATGGTGCGCATAGTGCGCATAGTGTATTCTCACAAACTGGCCCTTAAACGACATGCGCCGTTACGCACGTCGTCCGAGGCATCCAAAAGAGTCTTCGATATTCACCAACGCCGTTCTCAAGCCGCTCCTCATACAACACAAGTTTTAGAATCCCGATTTTTGGATCCCGTT